CAATTGCACTACTGGGTATTTACCCCAAAGATACAAATGTAGGGATCCGAAGGGGTGCGTGCACCCCGATGTTTATAGCAGCAATGTCCACAGTAGCCAAACTGTGGAAAGAGCCAAGATGTCCATTGACAGATGAATGGATAAAGAAGATGTGGTATATATATATATATATATGTGTGTGTGTGTGTATGTGTAATGGAATAGTATGCAGCCATCAAAAAGAATGAAATCTTGCCATTTGCAACGACGTGGATAGAACTGGAGAGTATTATGCTGAGCGAAATAAGTCAATCAGAGAAAGACATGTATCATATGACCTCACTGATATGAGGAATTCTTAATCTCAGGAAACAAACTGAGTGTTACTGGAGTGGTTGGGGGTGGGAGGGATGGGGTGGCTGGGTGATGGGCATTGGGGAGGGTATGTGCTATGCTGAGCGATGTGAATTGTGTAAGACTGTTGAATCACAGATCTGTACTTCTGAAACAAATAATACATTATATGTTAAAGAAAGAAGAAGAAGAAGATAGCAGGAGGGGAAGAATGAAGGGGGGGAAATCAGAGGGGGAGACGAACCATGAGAGACTGTGGACTCTGAGAAACAAACTGAGGGTTCTAGAGGGGAGGGGGTTGGGGGGATGGGTTAGCCTGGTGATGGGTATTAAAGAGGGCACGTTCTGCTTGGAACACTGGGTGTTATGCACAAACAAGGAATCATGGAACACTGCATCAAAAACTAATGATGTAATGTATGGTGATTAACATAACATAATAAAAAAAATCTTAAAAAAAATAAAATAATGGGAATAGCAGTATCTACCTGGTCCGGGTGCTTAAACGAAATAATGTGTATAATGAAACTAGTGCTTAAAGTGTTCAGTCTGAGGTAGTTTTTTTTTTTTTTTTTTTATCATTCTTAACACTGTAATTATTTCTGCACAGAGTCTTTGCCCACACAGGTACTTCTGTCTTCACTGCTGCTCTTCCCCTATGATCCAGTCTTTTCTGCCCTCCGTGCCCTGAGCAGGGTATCTCTGGTCTGGGAGGTCTGGCCACAAGCACCAGTCCCTCTGTTGGGTTTGGGAGTCCCCGGTTACACGTGCAGGTGATGCCACAGTCATCCGCTGAGTTGGCTTCTCCCTTGCTGTGGAGGACTCACTACCGGAGTGTGCTCAGCCTTAGAGCTGCCCTGTTTTGAGTGTTGCACAAATCATCCATTTTAGATTTGAGCAGATTCAAGTTCATTCTTCTAAAATACCACTTACGTTCCCACATGTTCTTCTGCCTCCCTACCTCCCCCCAACCCCACCCTGCCGCATCCCTGCTATAGCAGAGTCATGGTGCTGTTGCTGTCTGTCTGCCTGCCTCCCCCAGGCAACTGTGAGCACCTTAAGGCCAGGGTCTACTGACTTTTCCTCGGGGTCCCCACAGGATCTAGCACATGAGAAATAGGAGACAAAATGATAAGTCCTGTGGTGGAGGCTGATCCAAACTTTGCATAAGGGCTGAACAGGAGAATCGTGGGGCGCCTGGCTGGCTCAGTAGGAAGAGCATGTGACTCTTGATCTGGGGGTTGTGAGTTTGAGTCACATGTCTTTTTTTTTTTTTTAAAAGATTTATTTATTTATTTGACAAAGAGAGCAAGCATGAGGCGGAGTGGCAGGCAGAGGGAGAAGCAGGCTTCCCGCCGAGCGGGGAGCCTGATGCGGGGCTCGATCCCAGGACCCTGGGACCATGACCTGAGCCAAAGGCAGCCGCTTAATGACAGAGCCACCCAGGCACCCCGGGTGTAGAGATTAAACTTAAAAAAAAAAAAATCCAAATAGTTCTTCCAGAAGGTTGAATGAGCAACATCCCATGGCCATCAGCAGAGGGCATGTCCCCACTGCAGCCACCAGACAAGAGGATGGATGGGCTAGGTGTTGGCTCTCCAGTTAATAACCCTGGTCTGGCCACCTGAGCACCCTGAGGACTGCCACAGGCCATGAAGGTGGGTACTGGCCGAGCCATCCATATAGTCCTTGCAGGATCAGTAAGACCTTCCACCAAAGTAAGTTGTTTTTGTTTTTTTTAAATTGCAGTGTTCCCAGCCCTGTGGCATGACTGAGGGTAGGTCTCTGTGTAGAACACAGAATGGCATTAGCATTATCACAGGGACAGGAGGTGGCTTCCTGGGGCCCCAGCAAAGGGTGTCACACTCATTCTCTTTTGGAAAGCTGTGCTGTGGCCATGGGGATTCCTTTCTTGGAGCCAAGAAGCTGCTAGACAGATGGCCTTTGGGAGCAGTCAGTTCTCCCAGAGGGTCAGCCGGTGTCACCAGGCACCTAGCAGGCTGGGACATCAGTGAGATCCTTGTCCAAAGCCCAGGCCTATTCCTCAAGGGGAAGCTGGCTGTGGCACTCCAGGCACCTTGCCATTCACTGGGCCACCTGCCAGCCCCTCTGGGTTGGGCCAGATGAAGACCTGCCACACTCGAGGCCCCTCTGCCGTAACTGTCACCCAGGCTTAGCTTTCAAAAGAAGCTGGCACAGTGGCAACGCCACGGGCAAGGCCAGCCCAGCTGGAGAAGGGAACTGTGATTTGCTGAGAACCTACTCATTAGGTTTACAAGGGAGATCTCTATGTATGTCCATCTGTATCCGTCAGCTCATCTGTACATATACATATCTTTTCTATATCTCTCTATAGCTTATATATAACATATACATAAAATCCAATTCCCACAACATCACAACAAAATATACTTTAATGCATGAGGGAATTGGGGCTTAAAGGATTAAATTACTTTGCCCAAGGTCACCCAGCAAGTATTTGTATTATGGTTTGAACCGAGGGGTGCCTTGCCCCAAAGGCGTTTGCTCTTTCCCACTCCTCCACACTGTGGGTGTGACAAATTGGCAGGCATGATGCTACGAAAATCAGAACAGGGGAGTCTTCAGGGATGTGGCTACTCCACAGTGTCAGTGTCTTGTATGGGTACGAGACAGTAACCGCCCCAACCGTTCACTGACCCCAGACATGCGGGCCATATTCTGGACTAGGCATGATCCAGAGGAAAACAAGTCAAAAGAGGAACCCGTGCTGGGCCCTGTGAGCAGACGGGAAGTTTTGTTAATCACAGGAGGCCCTCCCCTTCCTTTGACTAACCAGGGAGGAGGGCGGAGGCCAGAAACCAGGAAAGACACAAATAGTCATTACTCAGAAATGAAATGAGAGATAAATGGAGGAAGGGCAAGAAGCAAGGAAGTCTGAATCATTTTCAAGAATGCTTTCAAATCTGAGTTGCTGGTGTGGAGGAAGGAGCACAGACTTATTTTGGGCAAGTCCCTGAGCCCCAGTCTCCTTATTTCTGAAGTGGGGCCATAACATTTAATCTGTTGTGAGGAGTAGGGATAATGAACTTAGAATAGCCCCCAGGAGGGACACCATGAATTGTGTGTCTTATCATTAACTTCCCCTGCAGTGCTCTAGTTCTTGCCAGCTGGGCCCTAAGGATGGAAAAGTGTCCTCTGCGGTGACTGGTTATCAACAGGTGGCATCTGGAAAAGTCGAAGAGCCTCGGTACCCCCTGTGGCTCTGTGTGCCACTGAGTTCACAACCCCCTCTTTTCATAGGCTCTGACTGCTCTGTAGAGGTGGTATGCCTCTTAATTTATCATTCTAGAATGTGTGGCTTTTCGGTCCAGTATCCTCGCTTTATTTGTCCTGTAGAGCTTGAATCCTGAAACTGTGGTCTGATGGGGTGCTCCAGAGCAGAGCAGATCCACATGGATTACAAGGGTCAGCATGGGCCACTGACTTCCCCGAAGACAAGAGGCTGGGGACGTTCAGCTTTGTGTGCCCCCAACCCAGCCCAGAACCAATACGTGGATGTCCATGGCATGTTTGGAGTGACCGCAGCTTAAAGAAAAGCATGACGTGCTCAGGTCACAAGCCCCTCCATGACTCCCCATGTCAGAGCCTCACCAGCCCCACTGGCATCGAAAATAAAGGTGCTGTCTGTGGGAGGGGGGACTCCCTGTTCAGGAGAGGTGGGCAGGCCCAGGGTAGGCTGGTAGAAGACAGGGGTGTAGGGGCAACCTCTGCTCTGGTCACACCATCCTTGGGAAATGGCCCTATAAAGGAAACCCCCAGAGCTGGGGGGGAGGGGGTTGGCTTGTGGTGCTGTCCTGTGCTTCGGGAGGCAGAGGGTGGCCTGCCTGCTCTCACTGGGGTCCGTTAGGATTGAGCAGGGGCTACAGTGATGTTTACTCAGCTCTTTGCTCGGGTTCCCAGAGGCTCCCTGCTGGCAGGAGCTCCTAAGGTCCAGGTGAGGCCAGAACTAACCCGGCCATGGGTGGGGGAGGTGGGCAGGACGCTCACAGCAGACATTTAGCTATGCGAGTCCTGACCCTCAGGAGGTGCTTTTCTCAGAACGCAGCTTTGGTTCTTTTGGATCCCATGAATGTCTTTATTTTGCATGAATCTGCTCACCTTCCCTTTGCCAGAGATTGCTTGAAGCCCAATCTGTGCTTCAATTTCACAACCTGAGACCCAGCGACCTCCTTATCTGCTTTCTCATTCCAGCCCACCCAGGCTGACCTTCTTCCTAATTTATATTTAACAAGGACAAACATTTCATTCTACGTTCAAGTATTTTCGAAATATATTCTTGCATGCTGCTTCTGTTCCTTTGGCAAACAGACAACAAAGCAACCCACCAATCCAGGAACCGCTGAAATAGAACCATTCCCTTCTGGTAGATATCGGACCGGTGCCTGCTCTTGGGTAGTGAACCGATGACACACAAGGGCTTCATCTAGGAATTTCAGGACACAGCGGAAGTCCCCCAGGGAAGTCACCGTCACGAACCTCCCCACTGTTGCCAGCACCTTTGCCACCACACCATCTCTGGGCAACTCGACAGGGGAGGACTCTATTTCCTGAGTGCGCAGGCGCTGGGTAGCCTCTAACCCCCTAAGTCCATGTCTTGTTGGCGGCGAGGCTAGCTCTGTCCTTACCTTTATTCCTTGGCCGAGGCTTTCCAGGGAATTAATATCCAGTCCTTCCTTGCAGGCCTGCAGGCAGGAGATCACCTTCTGACTCTCCATTTTGCCAGGGCGGATAGTGAGACTGGCCAGGCTGCCGTGGAAGAATTGAGCAAACCGCGGTTTGGTGACTTCTCCTCCTGAAAGTGAAAGCAGCACGGTCATTTGCCCTGTGGAGACGGTCCGAAACACCACTTCATGGCACGATCTGGCCGGGGGACCAAGGACACAGTGACTCTGTCCCCTCAACCTGAGCTTTTCCTGCAGAGGGGTAAGCTCAGCAGCCAGCCTCGAAACACAAGGATATTACCTGCCGTCAAGACCTTGGCGCTCCCCAGCGGCACCTGATTTAGAAATCCTGGAATTCCTGGATTGGAAATAGCTGCCTTCAGAGGCGTGCACTGTGTTAGAAGACAGAAAGGAACCCCCAAAGAGTAAAACTGGGCGGGAGAAGGAAGATGCCACCGACGGGAGGCCTGCTGTGTGGCGGGCTGTCTGCTGGGGACTTCATCTGAGCAAGCCTGCAAAGAAGGGACCCTTGTTTCCCACTCACACGCGAAGAACCCTGAGGCTCAGACAGGTTGAGGGACTTGCCCCAGGACACACAGCTGAACGCTGGAGCTGGCCCTCTACTCCCGGTCTGTCTGACCCCAAAGCTGGCGTTTGCTGCCCTATATTCCACAGAGAGTTTGGCCGGCAGTCGAGGAATCCTGGAGCTAACGGGCTCTGGCTCTCTTGCAATGAACTGATCTCGTACCCGCTTAAACTCAAGTTCTTTGGCAGATGAGGACTTCCTGGATTCTGTTCGACCTCTTTGTTCTCATTGCCTACTTCTTGTTTTCCACTGTTCTCTCTACAGGCTGAGCCGAGTCCTGTCTGAGCTCAGGTCTGCTCTGTGGCACAGGATACCGTTCAACACTGCTCATGTCAAGGTCCCTCCTTCCACTTTCTCCCTGCTTTTCTCAAGGTCTCTAAAGTACAAAGCTCCCCTCAGGTTCATCTGAGTCCTCACCTCTTCCAGGAGGCCTTCCCCACAGCCTTCACTGAGCACAGGCCCCTTCCGTCTCTGGGCAGCCTATACCGACAGACTAGCCTTGATCTTGCACTTCTGTCTCTTCAGAGAGGTAGCGGGACATATGAGAAAGGTGGCTGTGGGTCGAACTCCAGCTTCGCTAATTCCCTGGGAAGGTTTTGTAAACCCCGAGCCTCTGCTTGCTTATGGGGGGACAGTCCCAGGTTTTGGCTCCTGGCTCCCCGGTCCTCTCTCCGAGGGCTCCTGTGGCCCCCCCGGACCTAGCTCCTGCAATGCACCCCTAAGGAAGCGCATTCCAGCGAGACACCACCACAGAGGGCAAATTTCTGACTCTTTCTACTAGAGTGACACCACAGTGACTTCTCTCTTCCTTCCTTCCACAAGCCACTCTGTGCCAGCAGAGCCTGGACCTCAGCTGGAGGGGTGGAGGGCTGTCCCCAGGTCACTCTACCTCAGCCCGGGGGTAGTAGATGCTCCTAACGCCCGCATTCCTATATTCTTGAGAGTGCTCTCTACTTCTCAGTAGCTAATCCTTTGTTGTTCCCATTCTCTATTGAAGTTAATAATTCTCTACATTGACCTGTTGAAATCGCAGTGTGGTTTTTCTCCCGTGATTGAGTCCACACCGACACACACTCTATGTTAGCATGCATGCCTTTGCTCACAACTATTCCTCTTCACACTAAGATACCACCTCCAAACGGCTTAGATTAGGCAAATCCCATGGTCCTTCAAGGCCCCTTCAGCCCTCTGTCCCCTGCTTGCACACAGAAACCTTTCAGGAGCCACCCTGTGTACCATGCCCTTCCTCTGTCCGGAGCCCCCTGCCCACCCTGTCCTCTCCTTGCCCTGAGCCCTGGAGCACTGACTTCATTTGAACGTACCCTCAGAACCCAGCATTGCTAACGGTTTACATGTGTGGCTTTTATGTCCTCAATAGCCTGTTACTGTGGTTCTCAACCTTGGCTGCACATTTTAATTACCTGAGGAATCTTTAAAAAGTCAAACTGATTCTGGTGCTTGGTCCCACCCCGAGAGATTGTGACTTAATTGGTGTGGGGAGTTTCAGAAGCTCCTCAGGTGCATTAAATGTGAAGTCAAGGTTAGGAATCACTGGCTGTAAGCTTCTGAGGTTGGGTCTTCTGCACACTCCTGTGTGATCTCTCTCCTTTATGCCACCCGCAGGCTTACTCTGGCTACCCTTCCCACACTGCTAGAATGTATTTGTGTAAGTCTCTCTCCTGGGTAGCAGGGAGCACTCATGCATTTTTCATTTTAATGAAGATGATACAGAGCAGGTAGTAATAAGGGCCGAGGGCTGCACCGGGCACTTTGCATAAGTTGGCTCATTTATTCCCTTCAATAGCACAGGGCCCCCGTGTGGTCCCAGCATGCTGCAGCCTGCCTGGCACACAGCAGACCTTTCATAGCTGTTTCCTGAACTGAAAGAGACGTTGAATTAATGCCAGCAGAGTAGTGGTCATTGTGGAGTCTCTCCAACGCCCATCTCACCTCTGTCCTCTTGCAGCGGCAGCCCAGAGGTTGGGGGGAGTTGACTTGAATTCCAGGGATGGATTCTATTTAGTCACAGCTAATCAGGTTTTCCTGTTCCCCTCACTCCGGTGACTGAGTCAGGTGATGACTTCAGATGACGCCGATCAGTACCTGTATCCACTAAGCCACAGAGGTTGGCCCAGCAGTGATCAGGAGACCACAATCAGGCCAATGAGATGAGAGGAGAAATTAACTGGCAGCCTTTGGGAAAAGGGCCTCCATTTTCTCTCCAGAAAGTTTCTGGAACCTCCTCTTGCTCTCTTCCCTGGAGATGATTATGTGAAGGAGGAAGGCTTAGAGTGGCTGCAGCCATCTTGTAGGCAGACCAGAGCTGACCAAGGTGACGCATGAAGGAGGGCAGACCCGGGAGAGTCATAGCAGAGGCCCGGGTGGACCTCCCTCCTCATGCTCTTACCACAGCACATCCTCAACCGTGGAAGCCCATCATCCACCTTTATGGTTTAAGCCATTTTGACTCACACTGTTGTTCCCTACCACCAAAAACATCTTCACTTTAGAAACGAAAGGAGAAGGTTCTATTGAAGTTCTCAGTCCACAAGGAACTCCAAACAGATCTGCCTTTGAGGAATGCTCTGACATGGCAATGACTTGAGAGTGAGGGGGAACCCATCTCGGGCCTTCTATTCTGGGTCCTCAAAGCCCCCATAGGTAAAGCACCCCTCAGTGCCATTAGCATGTTCCTGCCCCAGCAAAGGGGCACTTCTGTTGACCTGCAGAAAGAAGGGTGTGAATGTGGGTACGCATGGTGGAGCTGCCACTCTCCAGGGCATCCAGATGGCCACCTCTTCCCTGCTTTGTCCACCCTGTGTCCCCTCAGAGCAGCGGAGGCAGCAACTATCATTTACTGGGTATGCACTATGTCTCCCACACGGTGCCAAGTCCTCCACATACATCATCTTACTGAACCTTCACCAAACTCTTGGGAGGGAGGTACTTATTCTGTAGTTAGAGTTGAGCAAACCCAGACTGAGAGAGAAGTAAGCGGCTCAAGGCCACGCAAGTAGGAAGTGGTGAAGTGTGGGCCCCTCGGGCATGTGTGCATTCAGCCATGCACGGGGCCAGCTGGGGCATCCTGGAGTACTGGCCGGCCCTAGCCAGGGTGAGGCTGACAGAGAGCCCCCGCAAGGGCTCACTCTGCAGCTCCATGTTTAAAGGCCAAACTTCGCAACTCTCTTGGATGCTAAGACATTTTCCTACACACCATTTTCCCTCAGCAAAACATTCATGTTCTGTATTTTTGATTCAAGAATCCCAGATCTGTGATGTACTCTATTCATTAGTGATGCAGCTCCAGGAAATTGATTCAATTAGCACTTTGCAATAGGAGGCCAGCATAAAATGTGAAATATATTTGCACTCAGGGATGGCTGTGATGCAGGATTTAAAAAAAAATAGATACATTGAAAATCTCTTTCTTTTTAATATCTGGGGTGTCTTCATAAACCACATGGCTCCTCTGTTAACATTTAGACACAAACATGCTCATGAATTATTTTAAGAAAAAAAACATAACCTGATTTCTTACACAAAGAACTTTCTCTACATGTTTGCGAGTGTGATTTTGGGTTCCTGAGGCTAGATCTGCACACATTTTTAAAGTGTTTGCTGAAAGCCTAGCCTTCTGTTAGATTCAGCTAATTATAAGATATAGACCATGCTCTCTAGGAACTTATATTTAGTTGGGAGAATAAAGTATAGACACTGGGAAAATAAAAATGTAAGAGTAAATAGCCAGTGCAATAGATGATCTAAGGCAGGGCATGACTGATTTCCAAACAAATGCTACAGATGAGGTGTCCAACAGATCGGGAGGGGAAAAAAAAATAACCATTATCTAGGAGGCCCTTAAAACATGGCAGGTTCTTTCGTGTGCTATTTTATTTAATACTTAAGTGGCAGGACAGTATGTTTGAGACCTTAGCCTCTATTCTTTTGATTTTACCCTCTCTGTAGACACATAGCTGGCTTGTGCTCATTGCCACAGGGAGGGTTGTGACAAGGAGAAGAGCAGATGGGGCTTAAAGCTGAGTTTCTTCCCCAGTTTTGTTTCCAGAAGTCTAAACCCTAGGAGGGTGGGGAAGATCTGGGTATGGATCCACATTTGGGGAAAAGTAGAAGAAGAAAATCTGGCTTCCCGCAGATGAGAAAATGTCACCCTTGACTAGGAGGGGGGCTGGCAGGGAGGTGGTGGAGGGGGGTAAGGCACAGGGGTGCAGAGCGAGGCACCTGGAGCCAGCCACCTGAGCTGAGCCTTGGCTGGGGAGCACGATGCTAGAGGGGATGTTGGCCTGTCGCATCTGGACAGATAGGCAGATGGACTGCAGATGGTCTTAGAGAGCATGACAAGCACGGGAGATATTTTTGTGCCCCTAAGTAAGACGAGGAGATACTGAGAGAGCTGCCAGCCCCGGAAGACCGTTAGTGACAGGACCGAAGAGGTGAGCGCCATTTCCGTGGACACCTGCACGGGACGATGCCTGGAGGCCCCCCGGCACCCTAGCCCCACATAAATACCCCTGAAATCAGCTGGCA